AACCGCGGCTAGGAAGTGACTGTGTGACACTTTCACTCCATACAACATGTAGATTCATCGTGTTGCCAAACATTGAGATTACAACGCTCTTAGTTGTTACTTTCTAATTCGATTCAAGCAACAATTTCGTTTAAGAAATCGATCTAAATCTGTGTTTCGTTTGTATATGATCGAAATAGAATACTTCCCATGGACGATTGAAACCGTTCGATAAGTGGGTTAAAACTGGTAATTCTACGTGGTAGAAACATTTCAAAAACATAAAATAAATTAAACATAAATGTTTAGAAATAAACCCTAACCCGAAACAACGGGTTTGTTAAAGGTTAGTCTCTTTCTCGTATTTCAATGAATGTCTTCATCTAGTAGTTAAATAACAAATAATATGTTTCGTGAGCAAATTAAGATGAGTTTTTCAATCTAGGTTCCGCATATTTTGAGACCATAGTTGAATCTTTATGGATTAGTTGGAGTCCATTTTAAGAGTAGTTATTTCGAGGTTGTAGTGTTTTTTTTTTATGTTTACTACTTGATTTGTCTTTTGACCCGCTGTAAAACTAGTGTAACTGAATTCAAAAGTCTATTCATGACCTATTGCTTGTTATCTAGTATTTCAACCAAAGGGTAAAAAATCTTACAACCTACCTCAAAATAAGAGTACAACATTTAGTCGTAATTAGCACACTCAAACTTTACCAACGTGAAACAAAAAATGAATTCAAAACCAGGATGTCCGCAACTTTTTTACAAGTTTGGCCATATGTTGACCAACAAACTTGCTACTCGCAACTTTAGTGGTCTAAGGTCAAGTTACGACCTAACGTTTAATTCCAAGGTGAAGACTTCGCGTCCGGAAACGCCAGCCCGTCCGGACCACCTTGGCTTTCAGTGTCCGGTTTTCGCTGTTTACGCATTTTGTTTCAAGTTTTGTTTTTCTTTTGTGTAACCTGAAAGTTTGGATCATGACAGCTTGTCACAGAGAGTGGAACGAGGGCAATATGCAAGTGAAGATCTAAAAAATTTGCAATAGTGTTTATGTATTATACATTTAAACCTTTATTTTACCTATGTGAGTAGCTAGCTTTGCATTTTACTCGTTGTAAAAGATAACCACCGCACCGTTGGTATTCTCAATCTTTTACATTTATTTGTTTCGTGTGTTACAAAATTTAATAAAATAATATAATTAAAATAAAATAATAAGTCTGTGAATTTTTCAATTATCGCAATTAATGTTTCCCCAATATATGTCATCTACACCATTACGTCATAAATGCTGTGCCACGTCTCTCAGTTATGTTTCAATCCCTAGCATGCCATTTCAATCCCTAGCAGAGTTTTAAAAGTTCTTTTTACTATAAAACCGTTTACATTTTTACAAAAAGAAAGACGTGTGTACTTTGCTGTACTGTATTTATAGTAAAGTTTGTAGATATAGGAGTCTTTAAAGATTTCAAACTTCAAATTTACAATATACAATTTCGCAAGATTGTCACGATCACCACACACCAGGATATTTTAGCACAGATTGCGTACACAAGTCAATTATGGTTGTGCATTAATATGATTAATTTATGTTTAGTAATCTGTTACTTGAAATCCATTAAAAGGCTTTTAAGATTGTTCAAATCACTAAACAATGGTCAACTCACCGTTCACTAATTACATTTTTCTAATAAACTATTCTAGAGGTTAGATTAGGTTATGTTAGGTTAGGTTTGGTAAGGATTACGTTGGCAATTACCATAATTACCATAATTACCATAATTACCATCCTCTTGACCGATGACCATTTCTGGATAGGTCGCGTCAGTAATGATACAAATATCATTTATTGAAATGTATACGGTATTTAATACGGTATTTAACCTGTAGAATAGTAATTTTGCTGAATAATCTGGAAGGCAAACCTAAAAAAATGGAACTTAACTAAATTTAACAGATATTAAGTGCAAAACACAGTTACCCGGATCGTTAATACTTCAGAGGGCGAGTTTATTTTATTTCAAAAGTTACGGTTCTAAATATATTAACATGATGCACACTTTCCAACGTTTTAGGCAATTGAGGGAAAATAGCTACGATTGAGAAACTGACTGAGATTGCGCTAATGTCGACTAAGTTTGACTTTCTTGTTGGAAATTATATCACTTCTATGTCCCAACTTCACAAGTTGCGCTCTGAGAGAAACTTGTGCAAAATAGAGAACTCTATGAGATGACTTTTGTTGGGAAACTCTATGAGTTAAATCCAGACTTATTTTGATTAATTTGTACTAGAGGTCGTCCATTGGTCGAAAATTCGACAAAAAATAGTTACAGACTTCTCTATTTCTTCCCGCGCTTTAAATAAAACATGTAATTGGAATTTGTTTCGATTTTCTTTTTCTGTTTGTATTTCGTCACCATCATGGCAACCCATAAGGCCTGTGTTAATTTTTGAAGTTTTCAAATTTATTTTTTGTGCTTAATTTTAACTTATAGAGGAATCCTGCACATCTACAGGAAAATTTCTTTCTAACAGTATGGGTGGATTTTCCCTGCAATTCACACGAGCTGAGAGAAAAGGTTTTAATGCTTGAGAAGAAACATGCTTGCCTATTAATGTATAGATGGACTAATACTTCAATGCCTATAGTCAACTGTATTTATCATGTTTGCCTATGAATAGAACATACTTTATGTACAAAGCTGGCTTAGTATCAAAAAATTAAACAAAACGGCAGTAGCACACTCTATGAACAAGTCAAATGGTTAAGTCAATGGTTACACTTACTAAGATACATGCGAAAATACTTCAACCACGTCTATATCTATTATCTCCTACAGCCACAAAGATTTTCGTGAATTGTGATTCGATCTTAACACAGTTATACTATCAAGAGTCGGGTTTTATAACTGGCTACAACTTTAGGATTGGAACTATATGTCTATTTTACAGTAGGCTATATTCAATTATGATTTAAAACTGATTAACTATACAACTATTTCAAAATTGCAAAGCACAGCCTGCTCTAGTTGATTTTTTGCCAACCCGTCAGTAACTCTCGGGTGTGATTGTGTGAAGTAATCCTTACACGCAAGCCACTTCGTTCTACTTTTACGTATTTGGGATTAACTTGGAAAATACAACGAAGTAGAATTCCCTACGAGATTTTTTAATGATTTAATGAAAAACAAAGACCCAATTAGGAAACAATTTGTCACATCCGATTTCTACTTTCAAACTGAACTGGTGCAACATTTCAACATAGATTTGAAGTGTGTGACGAACCCGTAATTGCTAGGCAAAAAGTAAAAATTGCTTATTTTTTATGAAGCAAGATTCAATAGGTCCTGCATGTAAGAAAATATAGTTTTTTGTTTTTTTTTAAGTTGGACGAAAAATTCAGAGATATATAATTACGTTTAATTTTAATCAAAATTATTTTCCTGCAGTCACCCGACAAAGTGGGCTTCCTTGCACACATTACAGTACAGAAAGCCTTACTTTGGTGCACACCAATATTCCAACTAAACAACACAAAATGGCGTGCTTTTATTAGGCACGTAATCCGTGTACGCTTGAAAATAAGCTGGCAACACTTAAAGATATTACGACTACGATCAGCTGGTGCAGCGTTTCCCATTTCGTTCAATGTTTGGATTTATCCTAACCTAAAAACGTGTTGTATAGTGTTTGAAAGTAATAATTATTTATATGATTTATAGTAACTGTAGGAAAAATTTAATGTGTATAATGAGTGCAAACTGCCTTTGCCCAATAGTTACACAAATAACTATTGTACCTTTCACGCCATACTTTAATATACACTTATTATGTAATGGACAACATAGTTTAGATAATGTTTCATTATATTTGGAACTTCCAAATTTTAGAATGGACCCCTTTTAAAGCAACGTTCAATATTTTTGTCAAACAATAAATGAATCAGAATACTGTATCTATGCTAAGGAAAGCAAACATCACCTTCCACTTTACTATTTTTATTATAACCTAAAGATATAAACAGATTTTGGAATAGTTATTAATTTTTGAAATCGATGAAAAGTGACATACAAAGCGAAAGACAAAAGTAACGCCAGTCCTTCATAGTTGACACTGCAACTTAAAGGATGGTCTTCTAACCAACAAATGCATAAATTTCTCTGCCATCGTATCATACGTATACAGTAGCCAGACTTTTGTAATCTTATTTCATCGAACACATGCATTCACACCTTTTACAAGCATACCTTACAATCTAACTACATTATTCTAACATATTAAAAACGTGTTACATATTTACCAGTGGAGGTGAAGGGAGAAGTTGCCGAAGAGTAGTCCGTTAAAGGATGTACACACTACCCCTACACATTCATGACAGAAATATTCGAGAAAGTTAAGGGAGAAAGTCGTAGCAGAGCGCGATCAGAAATAGAAAATAAAATTAAATGTAAACCAAAGCAACAAACGCACCATTGGGACTGGAGCAAGAGTTGTATCTCGATATTTCACCATGCTTTGAGGCAGTTAAGAATAGCTTTGGCAAATTGAATAATCTTTTACATATTTATAAGTTGCGTTTTGAATTTAATTCTGTAAATGCTACATATTTATATATCGAGTCTTTTTCTCATGAAGTTGGTCAGGTAAATTTAGGTTGATTGTCACAAAAGTTAACAAAAGGTATATAATCAACATGTCAGACAGAGTGCGGCTGCCTACAGAGATTTTCAAAATTCTGGAGTCAGTTGTGGTAGCAATTATTAGTAGCAGTGTAGTTATAAACTTATTTTAGAAAAAAAGAGAAGAATAATTAAATGTTGACCGAGTCTTAGGTTTAACGTGAATATGCTAAAGTTGCAGATATTTTTTAACACACTACTTTAACCTGTGTTTTAATCAAGGCACTGATGCAGGTTAAGGAAACAATGTGCAAGTGAATGGTATGCACAAATTTAGGACATCAAGTACAATGATCGAATTATATTATAACGATAGATAATAGTTGTACTCACTTTTAAAGAACCTCCAGTGGCAGTGAAACCCTGAAAACATAAACCAAATTTTTAGAATTTCATTTAAACTACATCCACAACAGTTAGTTTAGAGTTATATTTGAATAAGGCGTTAACAATATTTTTTTACCGAACACGATTTTATAGCTTGGCAGTTCTAAATTAAATAAATAAGCTTGGTTTAGATATTCTAAAAATAAAAATAAATTCTAAAAGCACGGTTTATAATTGGACTGTCCATCAAGTTAATATCTTTTTTTATTTTACCCTCTACCCCTATACCATCTTTTTGTAAGTTCAATCAAGTATTTTAAAACCTGCTGAATATTTTATGGACACCCGCTATATGCAGAAATTGTTTTTTCGTAAACATTTTCGAGTTTGAGTTTTGAGTTAATTTAACCTGGACCCAAATAGTGGTTTTCGAAGTAATGTGTGGATGTGTGGATGTGTCCAGAGCTATAGACAGACCCCACCTTTATTCCGATCTTGATGAAATTTGGTATGTAGGTACTAATCTATGTTATCTCCAGCATTTTTTCATATTTATTAAAGTTTAAGTTTTAATGGTGATTCCCCTATAAAATAATGGAAAAATCGGATTTTCTCGAAAATGGCCCAAACGATTTAAAAAAATATATAATGTTATAGGCCTTTAAATTCTGAAAAATGGCAAAAATCCCATTTCCATAAAAATTACGGTTCAAAGTTATTGTAACTTAATTATGTTATTTTTCCATAAACCCCATAAAATAAAATAAATATTATTTTAGAAAAAAACAGGTTTTGATTAAAGTCAATGTGTTATGGTCCTTATAATTCTAAACAAAATAGTGCAATCCCTATTGCTGTAACAATTACGGTTCAAAAGTTATTGCAACTTTCGTGATTATAAAATATCATCCTTACTCCCGTCGCTTACCCATGATAAAGGTTGTTGACAAGCTTATGGGAGAAAGTATGTGTTAGATTGCTGATGCCGTTTATGTACAAGGATATTAAACTTTGAATAGTACGAAAATTCTTCTCATCACACAGTAAAATCTAAAGCCTAATTTTATTGAGTGATTTATGTTGACCTTCAGTGCACAGATGTTGAGTAAATCTTTCTCTTTTATTTTAAGTGTGGATTTTACGTTTCTTTACTTGATAGAACCAGTTTTGAAATTGGGGTTTTATCCAGACATAGCGTACACCCCTTTTAAAACATAGGATCTAACATACAACAAATGTTTTAACAGGGATTTTGGCATAGGGTACCCCTTCTGCATGAATCGCACAGAAACCTTAAAATGTTCCTCAGTGTGGAAAATCGACAAGGAAGCATGTTAAATATATGCTAAACCTTTAAACAGCTGTCATGAACATATGACTTTTACAAACTACTACTCAGCTATTCGCAAAATTCTACGTTGTGGGTACGAAATGAGTTGGCGCATAAGTTCGTGTTCGTGCGACTAAAAACCTTAATTCAATAGTGATTATGTTGATTGTAGGGTTTTTATAAAATCATAGCTTGTTTCCGTGGATTTACCACTTCCCACCAAACCCCTGTCTGCGAAGACAAGATTGCAGTTATGTTGGTTAACTATCAATTTCACATTTTACGTTAATCTTTCGGTTTTGACATAAAATTATTTTCATTGCTGTTTTTATGGGACGTGGCTGGTATATTCGAGCGAACTTCTGTTCTGAATGAAGACGAAAGTCCAAAGTCCACCAATCATTAACGACTTTTAGCCAAAGATAATTTCATGATTCTGCGGTCTCTGAACTAATTCTTCTATCTGGTAAACAAAAAAAGGTTCTCTTATTACAACATTTACAACATTAGTATAACATTTTCTGTAAAGGGGGATTTCTTGACTGAAAACTATGGACTAGTAATACGTTTTTTGTGTAGGTGCTGAATTCGTTCACTTAATGTTAAATTAAATTTTATATTCTACGGTGTTTTATGTTATTTCCAATTGGAATAGTAACCAAACGCTTAATTGATTATTCTATGGAAAATCTCTCCCTCAATATTCATCAAACTATACCATTAATGATTACATTTCCCTGTTAATCATTATGTTTCTTCAATTCCTTAGATGGTAAATCTTTTTAAATATAATATTTTGCACTATTTGGATTTTGTGTACAGATTATTTTGTAAATGCTTATGGCTAAAAAACGCTGTAACTTACATAACTCCACTCGTACCATAGAGGCAGTCCTGACGAAATGTTGGAAATTCACTAAATGAGGGAAATTGCAGACCTAATTGACATTTTGTGTTGTTTGGTTTCGAAGGCCGCCCAATGACTTGGGGATCAGGAAGGAATTTCAGACAAATTAAGTTCCGTCGTCATTTAGGAAAAGAATGCATCGGTATTTTCCTTATTTTGCTTCTGTTTTAGAAACTGGACTGATTTGTATACAGTTGAGATTTGATTGGTTTAGCTAGAAAACACAAACATAAAGCCAAAAATCTGTTACAGCTAATAACTTAACGTTTAAATAATGTTGGCCAGACCAGCCAGACAGATCGCAACTGCGTTTACCATTATTTACCGTAATGGTATATTCCATACTTATCAAATCAAATCAAATTATCCTTTATTCATTTAAGTACAATTGTACAGGAATAGAGTCAGATCTTACAAAATAAAATGTTTTACATTGAAATAAAAATAAGACAGAGTTAAAGTTTTACTTAAAGTTTTAGGAATCCTTTGCTGATATATTTGAATCCAAGCCTTCAAATTAAATTCTCGCACTAATCAATAGAACCCTCGCAAATCTAGTTAGTCATTAAAACTTTGCAAGACACATTGTTTAGTCACAATCTTAATGACTGCTACTTAGTATACAGGGTGTTCTCACTATTGATCGTAAGATCAGACTGCATGCAAGAACTTGATAAAAGAGTAATGCCCTTTTCGTACGGTAAAAATCCTTCAGTAACCTCTCTATGGTCAGCAACGTATAATTTTGTATGCAAATCTTGTAGAAGAAGGTTCAAGTTCACACGAGATAGATGGCTGGGAATCCCACACCATCTTCAAGGATTTAGGACCACTTTGTGTTGGTAGTCGGTGTACAGAATAGGATTGTTGACATCACTGTGTCCTTTGGGGATACTGAATGTACCTTAGAGAAGAAAGAATTGCCGTAGTCATTAGTCTTCAAGATATAAACCTTAGAGACACACATTCAGAACAAATTCAGACACTTAATGAACCGTAAGTATAAATACACTATTGAGATTGATACGTAACTGAGGTGTTTTTTATGTAAATGTACATATAAGATTTTATGAGCTAGTGCAGCTGTTGTTGCTAACAAATAAAAGCTAGTACCAGGACCAAGTACACCTAGGTCCAGTGTCAAAACATGAAGAAGCTACTGACTTTTCTGTTTCAACCACAAAGGATTGAACTTCCAGATTGTTATGCGAGTACTATTACAACTTAGCTGCCCGGATGAATACACAAATCCTGCGTTCATGCATAAAAATCTGCATTAAATCTGCTATCAACATAGTGTACACTGATAACTCTACAAGGGGAATGTGTTATACATACAGATGAACACTAGTGCGTCAAGCACGACGCTGTCTAGATCTGTTGACGATACTGTATAGTGTACATGGGTGGTAAAAGCATTACTACACCAATTTGCATGCCATCACTTCTGCAATATAAGGTGGATTGGCCTCTACGCTACCGCGTTGGCCAACTGCCAAATCGGCGATACAAGCTTTGTAAACAAATATGAAGATTATCTAGGTAATATCAACAGAATTATATCTGTCTGTACACTCTTGTGTTTTTGTTACTGGACATTCTGACGTAGTTTTACAGATTTTAGCGAATTTCCCTATAGGGAAGTAGCTATTACCGTAGGTCTCATGGTAAGACTTAGGCCCGGGACCGATTTACTTTTTCATTTTAATGTCCCCAGAGGCCAAAAACACCATTCGTTCAAATTTTTATATATGTATATATATATATATATATATATATATATATATATATATATATATATATATATATATATATAGATTTATATATATATGTGTCCGTGAACACGATAACCTGAGTAATTTTTATCCGATTTTGATGAAATTTGGTTTGAAGGTGTAAGGCGGGATAAACTTGAATGAGTTCGCGATCCAGCATGATCGGACTATGGGAACAGGGTTTTATGGGGGGTTTTATGGGGTAAAAATTGGTTTTTCTCACTTCTTACCCTCAAAACACAAAATTTCCCAATTTTTCTCTAAACCTTCTTAAAGAGCTTAAAAAAACAAACAATTCAGTATATCAAAGTGTTTTTGTACGGTTATTGGTTACGGAGAAAACTAAAAAAATGGTAAATTTAAAATTCCCATGTTATTCTTATGGAGAATATTGTAAAATGTTGTAGTTTGCTTGTTTATGGATATATTTTGATCAAACTTGGCAAATTTATTTATTTTATAGTAAGCTATACATATTTTACTAAAAACACACTACTTTATTAGTTTCCTTGTAGCAGCAAACCTAGGTACTCGTTAAACCTAATGTTATTTAAATAGATCAATTGAAAATCAATTCGGCCAAATGGAAATTCGCTTAGACGGCAGGTTTGCTGCGGCGGGGGTATTTATATGTGTCGTAGTAAAGATCACGGGGTGAAATATCTAAAAAGTGGTTTCTTCTGAATAAGACTCTAAGCCAATTACTTATCTCCATAAGGTTGGAATTTAATCTATATTTTCAAGAATGGTGTCGATAATTTTACCAAACAACGTTATGCCAATGGTAACGGTTTTCAGATTTTTTTCAAAGAAAATTTACTGTATGTACAGTATTAAGGATTTATATAGATTTACGTATTTCCATGTCGATAAGTATCATTGTACTACAATAGCTGTACTTTGTAGCATAATAGGTATGAAAAGCTAATGAAAATATAGAACTTCCATAGTAGAACCACACCATATGGGTGAGTAGCTTTGATGTCTCAAAATATCCCCTTATAAAACAATGTTCTCTGTACTC